TAAAAGAGGCATGGAATATTTATCGCACAGAGAATAGAAATAAATAAAAGAGTGGAGATGCATCGTGGGTTGAGATCATTTTTATTTATTGACTGTTTACGTTCTTCGCTGGGCAAAGTTGCCAACGCTTGCATCGATCAAAAAACTGAAAATCACATCTCATCAATCACTGCCAGGAATAGATCAGTAAATTGGGAGACAATGAAATGCAATATTCATTGAGTGTCATATGGATGTGTGAAAAGTGGAACAACCATTTGTTTTCCTCGTTGATTTATCTTCTGGCTATATTTAAAATTCACAAAACTGTTCAATCGTCGTCCAACGCTCGAAAGGCCGATTCTATTTGTAACGGTAGACTACAGTAGTAAACAGAAAATGAGACGAATCAAATATTCGCTTATAGCTTGACAGGTGTTTGAAAACTTAGCTAAACTGTTGTTTTCTAGTTTCGGAATTCTTGGTTGGGTTTACTTGATCTGGCTAGGTCGATGTCTGAGCGAAGTAGATGAGGTTAAGTTTACATTTACCGAGTTAGATCCACATCTGACTCTGCCAGATAGGGTTAGGTCGGCCTTTGATCGCGTTAAATAAAGTTAGGTATACATCTAACCTCGCTAGATAGGGTGAGGTCTGCGTTAGGTCTATGTCTTACTACGATAGATAATAATCGAATCTGGTGGAGTAAACAAAACCATGTAAATGAGAGTGAAACAAAACTGGTAGAACATTCAATAACAGACTCATGAATGTTTTGAAAAAGAAGCATGCAGGTATTTTCTGTCTACTCGAAAAATTTAAAATTATATCTGACAAATCTAGATCTTTGTTCGCTGTTTTTACAAAAACAAAATTATTGGAGAGCGGTCTCAAAATTCCTTGAATCAAGAGAACCTAAAATAAATCTACAATGTACATCGACGTGAAGTTTAGACAGTGAGCTTTTACAACAAAATCAATATAAATAAAAAATTAATATAAATTAACAAAAATAAATGATATTAACAAAAATAATAGAAGGTATACCATCATTTAAGGTTGATTGTGTTAACATTTGGTACTGTATCAGGAGAAGTCGGAAGATTTATTGTCGAGACTGCTACACAATGAAGAGAAGATTTAAAGTCTCGTTGGAATGCATTTCTAGCTAAAGCGAAACCGTATATTATGCAGAATAGACTTGCTAATATGTTCGATTCGGTTCAAAGTGGCTTCAATCTTGAAATACGCTCTGGAAGAACCGTAGCGATAAAAGAAATAAAGACAATTCATGGAAACGTTCCAGCTATATCACCTAGGATGCACAGTTACATCTATTATTCACGAGACAGTCTTCGACGATGAGAAATTATTATCATCACTCAAGAGCTGGGTAAATTTAAAAAGAAGAACATTTCAAATGCTACTCTTTAAAATATCAAAGTTTATATATTGGATAAAATGTATTCTCTAATGCAACACAAACTAAATATACAGCGTATTCAAAAAAAAGCATTCAATATTTATATGGCGTATAGGGCACACTGTACTGAGTAAAAAAGCTTTAATAAACATAGGTCCAAAGGTCAACCGTTTCTGAGATATAAACATTTTTGTTTGCTAGTATCATGATTGACTTACTTGATTGCATCGCATGCGGTGTTTATGTCAGTGTTTATAACTTGCGTTCGGAATGTTCCCATTCAAGTGCCGACAATTTCGTCAATTTCATTTTTTCAATTTCGTGTACAGAAATGAGCGGTGGACACGTGGAAAATCTTCTATAAATATCAAAAACCCAGTAGTAAGTCAATCATGATACTAGCAAACAAAAATGTTTATATCTCAGAAACGGTCGACCTTTGGACCTATGTTTACTAAAGCTTTTTTACTCAGTACAGTGTGCCCTATACGCCATATAAATATTGAATGCTTTCTTTGAACACCCTGTAGAAATAAAAGCGATATTCATTAATAATTTCGTAACTTTTCTTACATACATTTCCGATTGAGGAAGTGTCCACGTACTCATGGGTGCAGGTAGCTAATGTATAGACTGCATCTTTATAAATATTGCTTTATATTCTTTACTGATAATAAATTCGCAACAAGCAACTCCTGAAGTAGCTTACTCGGAAAATGAATTTGCTTAAAGCTGAATAAATGGCAAAAGGAAGAAAGGAATTTCAAGTTTGAGTGTACTCGAGGAGAGAGGGTTTCTTGAAAGTAATTTATCGGCCAAAGAACGCAACGTAGTGAGCTTGACGAAACGTTTACAAGCCGTCCCCGTTCCCAAAGCAGCCCCGAATGTCTCAAAGGCCTCGATCAATCTCGAGAGCCATTCAAGTTTCAACAGAACTCGAAGCACCGTTGACCCCTCTCTATCGGTATGATTCTTTGAGGGAAACAATAAAGAGCAAGAAGAGATACAGGCGGTTTCAAGCAGGGAAACTTGTATTGATCTACCGTGTTGCTCTTCGTGGCTGAGAGGGGCGTGTTGATTCAACCTTCTGAAAACGCAGCTGATGGCTTCCTCCATTTTGCATTTTCAGAAGTATATCAGCTCGACGAAAATAATATCATTTCTCGACATTTTCTAACATTTTGTTTCTATGTACGAAGTCTGTCCGGAAAGTATCCGACCTTGTGCTTTAACATTTTATCTGAATGTGCTACTGTTTAAAATTGTTGAATATTTAGCTAAATAAAGGGGACATTGAATAGATTTAGCTTTTTCTTCTACTGCAGCACAAGTTCGGATACTTTCCGGGCAGACCTCGTAATTAGAAATCAAATAATTTAGCATTTATGGTGGTACTCAGAGCCGCCACGTGGGTAAGAGGCGTCTGTGTGCAAGACAAATTTAGCGCCCTTTTCCATGATACATGATTCGTAAATTACAACAAATATACATTATACATTATATAATTATTTGCACATTAACCCTCCGAGCTTTGGCTGCCTCAAAATTTTCAATTAAATCACTAATATTTAATGTATATAGAATGTCATTCTCAATAGATATAATCGAAAAATCAGTTAATCGTTCTTGACACATTGTAGAACGTAAATAGTTCTTAATCATTCTTAATTTGGAAAAACGTCTTTCTCCGGAAGCTACCAAAACAGGCAAAGTTAAATAAATTAAGTTCACCACTGTGTGACAGTAAATTCAAAGATTTCTTACAATTTCAGATAACTCTATTTTAACTTCCAAAATACCGACAATCGAGATTGTCAATATTACATACTATTTTCAAGCATTAACGATTTTGCAGACAACCTTTCGGCAGCCGGACAAGCTAGCTCACCCCCGTCCGGTTCTTACCTCTTCCGAGCAGTTTGAGCTCTCGGTGATCGAATGATTCATTACACCTTAGTCATAATGCATAAAAAGTACAGAAATTCTTGTGGCGATATGACGCTCCTTCGGAGAAGCGCCCGTGTGCGGTGCACAACTGGCACAACCGTCGTGGCGACCCTGGTGGTACTTATTTTTGCATCCTCTTTAAAATTCATCGATCCTATTCAGATCTATTTTCGTTAACATTTCTCCTTCAGGATTAATTAATTTAATTCCTACCTGAAAATCCTTGTCACCCATATGTGGGTGACGTGGCATCCACATATTAATGGTTCCTTTCTTCAAGTCTATTCTGTTGTTTTCCATTGATACCTACATGGTATTGCCAACAAAAATATTTCAGTCCTATTTACAATGACAATTGCGAAAAAGAATTGAAAGCAACAGACTTAAGAAAAAGGAAATAAATTTTAATATAAATATGAATTGATTTCTTTGTTCTCCTTTCTTACTAGTCAAGTTAAGCTTTTTTTTTTTAAGCAAGGATAATAGTTTCAGTTCACACTTTTCAATTCAATCACATTTCTTATTGGAGTAGTATATTCAGCAGATTATCATTTATAATATTCTTCACTCCTGCAACGAATAATTTCTTTCTTTTAAATCCCATCGATTCACTCTTCCTTCGAATCTTCACATCTCCTATGTTTAAGTTTTCTCAACGTATTTACCAAAAAACACCCACTTGTGAATTCAAATGCCGCGGTTCCTGTATTTCGTATTGTACATAAATATCTGCCAGCATTATATCGTCCCTCTGCGCCTCCCACATCCCAAAGGAGCAAGAACAAGATAGAGAAAAAAGAGGCCTTCGCATTGCTCCCCGTAGCTCAATTCTCCTTTTTATAGGGTCATAAGTCTTTGCATGTATTCACTCAAGTACCTCGAGTTCATGGAAAATATATTCAGACGCACAAATAATACTAAAGGAACAATTATTGATCATTTTCTTTTATTACTTCTGAATGATCTTCATTATCTCAAATCATAATGAAAATCGTAATTGTCGGCGCAGTGAGGAAAAACACACTAGTTAGGAGTAATAAATGGGTTATATATTTGTTAAGTACACGTAGTTATGAAAAGGTATATGAAAATATATATGTATTAGGTTGTCCGGAAAGTTCTTTTCGTTCTTTTAATATATTTTTTTCTGCGTTTCTTTCCTAAATAATATATGATCCTTTCTCTTCTACCACCTTTTGCCATCTCTCCGGGAGCCTCATAATGCCAGTTTTCCAAAATTCTTTTGGCTTACTTTTAAAATATTCTTCGAGGCCGTTTTTCACTTCGTTTACCGTTTTGAATTTTCGATTGTGGAGAAAATTCTTTAGAGAGAGGAACAAATAATAGTCCGATGGTGCAAGGTCAGGAGAATATGGAGGATGTAGTAAAACATCCCAATCAAACTCTAGAAGTTTTGTTCGTACCGCTAAAGAAACGTGTGGCCTCGCGTTATCGTGGTGGAACACGACGCCACGTCTATTCACCAGTTCGGGACGTTTTGTGGTAACGGCTTCCTTAAGTTTTTCTAGTTGGGTGCAATATTTTTCACTATTGATCGTTTGCCCTTCTGGAAGTAACTCGTAATAGAGAATACCCTTCCAGTCCCACCAAATTGAAACCAGTACCTTCTTCGGGTGAAGTTCAGGTCTTGCTACCATTGAAGGACACTTATCTTGACTCGACCAAGATCGCTTGCGCGTAGTATCGTCGTAGAGAATCCAACTTTCATCCCCAGTAATTAATTTTGTTAAAAATGGTTCTCTTTTGTTCCGTTGAATCAGCAAATCGCATGTCGAAATTCGATTCAGGAGATTGCTCTCCGTCAGTTGATGGGGGACCCATACTTCGTAGAGATTAACGTACCCAAGCTTTGTTAAATGCTTATGAATCGTTGTTCGCGGAATGTTTACAGCATCTGCTATCTCACGAACACAAGATCTTGGGTTTTCATCGAGATAGGCCTTGATAAGGTCAGTATCAGTGGTGGATGGACGTCCGCTACGATCTTCATCTTTCAGATTAAAATTTTCGGCTCTAAACCTCTTAAACCAATTCCAAACTGTTTGAACAGTTATAGACCGATCACCATAAACTTCACAAATCTCGTTTGCAGTGTTTTTAGGCGTACTGTCTATTTTAAAGCAGTGAAACATAACGTGACGAAAATGCATCTTTTGGTCTTCCATCTTTCACCACGCAAAAAACACTCGATACACTTTTTACTAACGTCGAGAACTGTTCTCTTGCCTTACCAGAGGATAACTAATGATCACACGATTGACGGTAGAGTGATCTGGTGGTTTGTTTATTTAAGCAGAACGAGATAAAGCCCCGAGCAGCGGGCGCGAAAAGAACTTTCCGGACGACCTAATATTATAGATTATTAACATTAATGAGATCGACGTATAATTTGTTACATTGCAACACGCGACACACACAGCAAGCAAGCAAGCTTAAACAGGGACAGCGCCGCCCAACGGTGGGCCTCTGTAACACGCGTTTTCATCTGTTTGACGCGCGCTAATTATAATTACTCTACATTAATTGTTACGCCACCACGTAAGGGGCTGTTCATTAATTATTTAAAGGTGTCGAGAGGGAGAGAGGGCTTAAAGAATCTCTACATGATCTTACTTTTAGGGAAGAAAGGTAAAAGTCTTCTTACGTAATATTTTACTACGAGTCGAAATTCGCCTGGCAGCGATTGATTTGTTTTCTCACTTTAAGATTGTTTCAAATCTTACTATTGAATTCCTGTCACTACCTACTGAAAGAATATGCAATACTTCCTCTTCCTGTTTCGTTTTTCTAACGTGTGCCATGTGCAATATATATAAAACTTATTTCTTTAATTTGCTCATATATTCTTTCATAGGTATATATTTTTTCGTTTCTTATAGATATTGTAATTTCATTTCTCTGTAATTAATATATACAATTTAATAAGAAGAGTCTGTGGAGTAATAATTTATTGATTCAAGATCCAAACACGTTTTCCTAACCTCAGAAATTAACTTTAAAACTTGCTTTTAATTACAATAACGATTTTTCAAAGACTATATAATTATTATTTTTTAAATAAAAATCTTGTATTTATGTCAAATAATGTGATTTAATGAAAATGAACCTATTTTAACGACATTTAACTATTTAACGCTTTTTAAGAAAACTTTAGATAAAATCTTATATAAGAAGGGGGATGGGTCCGAGAAACCTAGTAACCATACATGAGGGGGGAGGGGGCGGGGAAGGGGGCAAAAAATTGTCAAAATCGTCGTTACGTAATTAATAAATGGCCTCTAACGCGGCGTCGATTAAAAGTTTGCGTCGATAGCGTATATGTTTCACGAATAAATTATCACGCAACGGTCGGAGGAACGGAACTTCCTTAATCAAGGGGAAACGAGAATCGGGGCACGGTTAACCGTCGTTTTTCGTTTTAATTGCAGGCTTTATTGCATTCTGAAAGTGTGCGAAGTAAGTCAGGCGGAAGTTTCCACTGGACGTGGCGGCGGTTCGCAGAGCTAACAGTGGGTGGATTAGTAGGAGAAATAATAACGAAACGTTGCTCAAAGTATTGAGTCGTTTTCATCCATTTAACCATGGCGACTTTTGATCTAATGCAAACATAAAGGCGACCTTTTATGTCTACTTTGAAGAATCATGAATAATATTATTTGATTTTCATGTCATTAATTGAATAATTACTTTTAATATATGCACGTTTGCTTTTATAGTTATTCTCATAAATATTTGTGCCCCCTATATCTGTTGAAAACAGTCTAAATTAAACGATAGAGCATTGATATTTCCAAATCAATTTTTCATTACAAATATATACATGTGTAAAGTTTCTTCGTGTAAATATTTATAACGAAACATTTTTGGAAATATCAAACTTATTTTATTTAAACAAGTTTATTTAATAGACGTAGAGGGAACGAGCATTAATGGTACTGCCTGTATAGAAAAATTTTACCATTATCTACAATCATGATACTCTATAGAATTTAAAAATATGCAATATTAAAAATCGATTTACAAATCAAAATTGCTTTGGTTGTATGTACTCGATTAAAACATCTTAAAATTCATTTAAAATTCATCTCTCAAGAGCCCAGAAAATCAGCTGGACCATTTAAAAACTTAATTGCTTTTTACACATAATATTAAAACAATAATATTTAACAAACACTTATAATCGAACCTTTGTCGAAAAACACTATCTGCAGAAAGAAACAAAGTAACAATATACGAAAAATTAAATTTCTATTCGAATATCAACACCAGAAAACAACGTTGAGAAAATGAAATTTTTACGTGCAATTTGTCACCGTGATATCGATTTGTAATCGAGATACGACCGATCACACCCACGGGATAAATAAAACTTTCGCGTAACACTGGAGTAATGTAATTTCACGCGTGTTGCATCACCGTCAGAGTTTGAATTTTATTCGTTGTTTTTTTTTTGGTGTAGACTTTTATTAAAAACAAAGACAAGCTAGGTCGAGCGACGAATATGCGTGTGTGACGTTCCAACTCGAATTGGAATTTCACAACAGTAATTGGCACTGCGTGGGTCGAAATGACTTGCACCGTTCCGTGTAGAGTTACTCTTGGTTGACTAACAAGTGGCAATTATTAGCACGGTGAAACATTGATTAACGTGCGACTTCTTCGTTATTTTGGAGGTTTAGACGTCTCTACGCTTATTTGATTTCATATTTTTGAATTTAGCTACTCTATTACCAACCTTCTCGTAATTTACCATTTTTTTGTTAAAACTCTTCGCACTTAATTGTTAATAGCAAATGGAAGCCTCCTGTTATCATAATGTTCGTATGTGAATAGGTGCAGCGCTGCGGGTTATCATAAGCGCAAAAATGTAGTTATCATAAGTGGAGAAATCTTCATAAACGCAAAAAGTTCACCTACTGGCAACGTCGCAGACTACGTTCCTCCAAATCCTAAATCCGTAAGGTTAAGAGAGAATAATAAAAAAATAAAACATTTGTCGTTACTGTAAAAAGTGGTATATTTAGAAGAATATATATAAAAATGGAAAACCTTACGTTTAGAGGAGGCAGCTCTGATGACCTTGACCTTGATATATGTTACCAAGGCCACACCCCTAAGTAGTATCCAAGAGGTTTTAGCCGCCGCTCGTTTTTTATTAAAAAGTTATTAGTATATGAAAATCAAACAATAGATCGATAATGAATAGACAATTACTGTGCTGATGATTACATAGCTTGTATCATGCACGATCTTTATTCGTACAGTACAAGAAAACGGGGATTTGGGATCGAAGCTCCCAATTATGCGTACTGTAGCGCACCTCGCAGGTGTGTACAAAATTACATGGTATGAGGGATGTATATTGTCTTGAGGAGGGTTGAGGGGCAGCAGGCCCAGCTCAGCAGAGGGTCTGGAGGGTGCAGCCCCCAGCATACGTATACTTTCGAGGCGTATACTTTCAGCCGAAAAATCTTTCACAAAATTTAAAAAGCTGTTACGAGCCGAGGGCTGAGAGGCTTGTTTAGCCTGCGAAGCCGAGGATAGTTGTTGTTTTGGACAATTTTTGTTAATGGGGATGTGCGTTGATGGACGTACCTACGCATGGCTAATGTAGGGTTGTCACTAGGAGGGTGGATGTCGTGGATAGACCGACGTATGGCTAACGTAGGGTTGCCACTGGGATTGTTAGTTGGCCTCGTAACTTTTATTATCCAATACACCTAGATCGGTAAAGATGTATTGCTGTGAGTCTCCTTAACTAAATAATTCAAGGGATAGGTATTCAAAAAATAATTAGATTTAATCTACTAAACTATGTATGTACTGGGTGTCCCAGTCTAAGTGATACAGAGCTCTAACTCCAAAACTATCGGCTGAATGCAAAATTTCAAATATGGAAATTGCATGGTAAAATAGGGCTCATGTTTCAGCGAGAAGGAATTTTTGTTAACTTTGTTATTTAACGAGATATGATGGTCACGTTTCGTTTTTCAAATGGAACTATATATTTTTTTAATACCATGCGATAACACTTTTCAAGACGAATTCATTAAGCTTAATTGTATTTACCCGATTTTTATTAGTTTTCAAACTATAACGCTTCAAAGTTTGCTAATTTTCAAGGAAAAAACTCGGTTCGATTCCAAGCGGTCCCATTGATGCAGTAAGCACCTTGCGGTTCTTGAAATCGATACGGAGGAAAATGCGAAGAATCCCAATATTCTGGGCCTAGAATCCCAAGCGAGACCCTCTGTATCGATTTCAAGAACCGCATGGTGCTTACTGCATCAATGGGACCGCTCGGAGTAAAGTATCCGTACGTAACAAAGCATACTTACGTCTCAAAACTATACGCATGCTGGGAGGCTGCGCCCAGCTGAAAGCAATATACATCCCTCAGAGTAACCATTTACACACCTACGAGGTGCGCTACAGTACGCATAGTTGGGGGCTTTGACCCAAAACCGCTGATCGGAGGCAAGTCTCCGAACCCCCATTTTTTTTACTGTACAAATAAAGATCGTGCATGATCAAAATTAATCGTTCTTCAACTGACTATGTTACGTTGAGAGATGCAGCGTTGCCAAACTTACTACCCAACACGTATTCGCGCTTCAGATTACTTCGATAGCGCAAACGGAATTAATCCCTTATTAAGGTAGTTTTACGCTTTTGAAGTTTTATGCCTAGCGCAGCGATCGAACTGATAAAATCATAGAACGCGTGACACGTTGCAATGTGTCGGCGTAAAAACAAAGGCGTATCGGCATCTTCGATCTATCGCCAAGATGGCCGAAAACGCGCCGTATAATTTGTGTTGTATGTGCGTCGCAGCGTCGACAGTTTTTAGCGACGATTAAACGACGCGTGGAATCCTTTAGGATTCCTGAATAAATGGATATAAGTGGACTGTAACTTAGAGTGTTTTAACTAACAGACTTTATTCGGACGTTGTGGTGTGAAGACTGGTTAGAGACGGAATGAATGCGATTCTACCTACAGTCGAAGTAGGCGTACAATTTTTGTGTGTTAAGGGTGAGGGAAAACAGTTTCTGATTGGTCTATTGGTTGGCTAAAATTCGGGTGGAAATGTCAAATTACAGTGACGTGGACAGAAGGTCTGGGTTTTTCAAGTTGACCGTAGCAAGTAATAAAGCCAAGCAAT